AAAAATGAACGCGCTCCCCAGACCCCCGAGGTCATGCTTTCTTCATGACGCGACCCCAAGGTCCAGACCCACCCCGGGGCCGGTCTTTCATCCTGGAGTCGTCCTTTGGACGGTCCCGAGGCCCCGGAAGGGCTCCCAGAGACCGAAAATGGCAACAGACCTCTCGTCGTGAGTTCTTCATGACCCGAGGGGGTTCGGGACTCGCGAGGCCCGGCGAGGGCCCCCGGAGGCCGAAAAGTTCGCCCCACACCGGCCGCTCCGATTTGTTGTGCTTTCCTTGGAGCGTCGGGCCCAGTGTTATGTCGGGCGTCCCCCTACAGGGGGATTGTCGACGAAAAAAAAGAATACCCGAAAAATACACCAATTATCTCGGCAAAGCAACCTAACAGCGATGTGTAGGAGCATATCTGGAAGCATTCCCCTTAAGATTCAGGTGAAAATCCAGTTGTAGAATTCTGCTGTTCTCGCAGTCGCAGTCGCATTCGCAATGACAGTCACAGTGGCAACGGCCTTAGGATCCAATGGAACCCTAAGGATTCCTAGGGATTCCTAAGGCATCCTTAGGCATCCTTAGGAATCCATAGGAATCCGTAGGAAACCTTAGGCATCCTTAGGAATCCTTAGGAATCCTGATTCCTATGGATTCCTGGGGATTCCTGGGGATTCCTAGGGAATCCTAAGGGCTCCTAAGGATTCCTGAGGATGCTTGACTATGCCTACGGATTCCTAAGGATGCCTACGGATTCCTAAGGATTCCCAGGAATTCCCAAGAATTCCTATGGATTCCTACGGATGCCTCAGCCTGCCTCAGTTTCAGCCTCAGCCTCAGCCTGCCTCGGCTTGCCTCAGCCTCAGCCTCAGCCTGCCTCGGCCTCAGCCTCAGCCTGCCTCAGCCTCAGCCTCAGCCTGCCTCGGCCTCAGCCTGCCTCAGCCTCAGCCTCAGCCTCAGCCTGCCTCCGCCTCAGCCTCCGCCTCCGCCTCCGCCTCCGCCTCCGCCTCCGCCTCAGCCTCAGTCTGCCTCGGCTTGCCACAGCCTCAGCCTCAGCCTGCTTCAGCCTCAGCCTGCCTCGGCCCCAGCCTGCCTCAGCCTCCCCTCCTCTCTCGGGAGGGTACCCCATTCAGCTCACCTTGTTCGAGTGCCGCTCGGCCTCATCCTCAGCCTCAGCCTAGTCTCAGCTGTCTCGGCTGAGCCTGCCGTCGCCTCAGGCCTCAGCCTGCCTCAGCCCTCAAGCCTCGCGCCAGCCTCAGCCTCAGCCTCCAGCCTCAGCTCAGCCTGCCCAGATCAGCCCCAGCCTCGCCTGCTCGGGCTTGCCTCAGTTTCAGCCTCAGCCTGCCTCGGCCTAGCCTCAGCCTGCCTCAGCCTCAGCCTCAGGCCTGCCTCAGCGACAGCTTGCCTCAGCCTCAGGCATCAGGCCTCAGACTCAGCTGCCTCAGCCTCAGCCTCAGCTCAGACTGCATCAGTTGCCTCAGCCTCAGCCTCAGCCTGCTCGGCCTTCGGCAGCCTCAGCCTGCCTCAGCCTGCTCATCCTCACCCCTCAAGTGCCTAGCCTCGGCCTCAGCCTCAGCCTCAGTCTCAGCCGCCTGCCGCTCAAGGCCTTGCCAAGCCTCAGCCTCAGCCTGCCTCGGCCTTCAGCCTCTTCAGCCGCGTCAGCCTCAGCCTCAGCCTGCCTCAGCCTCAGCCTGCCTCAGCCTCAGCCTCAGCCTGCCTCGGCGTGCCTCAGCCTCAGCCTCAGCCTCAGCCTGCCTCGGCCTCAGCCTGCCTCGGCCTCAGCCTGCCTCAGCTCGGGAATTCAAAATATGGCACAGGACTTGTGTTCTGGGAACACGAAGATCACGAAGTTGCCCACAGTTGGCTCCGGGCAATCAAAATATAGTGGAGGAGTGGTGTTCTGGGAAAACGAAGAACACGAAGTGGCCTACAGTTGGCTCCGGGCATTCAAAATGTGGCCTGGGAATTGTGTTCTGGGAACACCAAGAACACCCAGTGGCCTACAGTTGGCTCCGGGCATTCAGAATGTGGCCTGGGAATGGTGTTCTGGGAAAACGAAGAACACGAAGTGGCCTACAGTTGGCTCCGGGCATTCGAAATGTGGCCTGGGAATTGTGTTCTGGGAGCACCAAGAACACCCCAGTGGCCTGCAGTTGGCTCCGGGCATTCAAAATGTGGCCTGGGAGTGGTGTTCTGTTGGTTACGGGCAATCAAAATGTGGCCTGGGATAATGTTCCGGGGAGTCCCCGGATCCCCCGGATTCCCCCGGTATCCGCCCAGACCCCCTGGGGAGTCAAGACCTGTGTTGACCCCACTGGAAACCTATCAGTCTTCGCTGTTAGGTAAAGCAAAAAAAATGCTCCCAAAATAGTCCCAAGACTATGTTTGCATTATTGTTTGACTATTTTCCTGGTATTTATATTTTTTCGTCGAAAATCTTCCTGCAGGGAGACACGCCCGACCTAAGCCCAGTGAGGACCGGCCTCCCTCTCCAGGACCCGCCCCCGTCCTCCTCCTCCGACGGGCGCGTGCCACGACTCGCGGAAGGACTTCGCGCGCAGGTGGCCCGGATCCGACGCGGGGGGGGGGTGCGATCCAGTACAGGTTGCGAGCGTTTTTGTATATTCGGCTCTTCGACACTGGGCGGAAGGGGGGGGGAGGGTCTGGCTCAAGACCTCTCTGCTCAGTGCGACTGTTTTGCAGCAGTGCGTCTTATGGGGGAGGCTCCACCTGCTCAAAACAGGCGCTCAAAACAACCAAGATCCACTCCATGGGGGGGGAAGGGGGGGGTGCAAAGGCCCGCGCCGATCGGCAAAACAAAGAATAAGAAAACAATCATATGGGGGGCATGCAGCGGAACCCGCTCGGTGCCCAGACATGCGACGTCCTGATGTTTAAATCGGCGTCCCTGGAAGTCCCGACCCTTTCCCCGGGACCGGATTCTCGCACGGTCCCGAGGCCTGGCGAGGCCTCCTGGGGCCGAAAACTAGCCCCCCCCCCCCCGTCCAGATCGTTTTGCGACGCGATCATGTCTGGGAACACGCTCGGTGTGACTCCTGGCGACCCTCCCCAACCCTCGAATTGCCGCTGCTCAGACCTGATCAGGCCGTCTGGCCCGCTGCAGCTGGCCCCCCACCCTCCTCCTCCTCCTCCTCCTCCTCCTCCTCCTCCTCCTCCTCCTCCTCCGCCTCCTCCGCCTCCTCCTCCGCCTCC